TGAAGTAAATTATTCTATATCAATAAAGCCAACATTATTTGTCAATATATTTGGATCCTCTTTTGTCCTTCTTCGTATAGGGAACTTGATCCCCTTTCCATTATACTAAATTGATCTTTACTGTTTCCTTACCACTGTTGTTGCTGCAATAGGCTTCTTCCTGCTTTCTAAAAAATGTTATGATTCCATCAAGAAAACAAAGAAATTGATTCTTTTTCTTCTTTATGTGTTTCATCACCTCAAGCTTCTTTGTCTCACAATTGGACACATGATGTATTTCCGAGTTTTTGCGGGGAAGATGTACGCAAAGAGTTTTTAAGTCACATTCAAAAGGGTTTTGAAAGAAAAGGAATTAGACAATTCAATGACTATGAAATTCGAGAGAGGAGAATCTATTTCTTTTCAACTTGTAAGGACGATTAGAGGATCTAAAATTGCGGTTGTCTTGTTTTCGAGGAACTAGGCTTCTTCAAGATGGTGTCTTGATGGATTGGTGGAGATTATAAAATGTAGGCGAAAGCTTGGTCAAATATAGTTATAGCCATTTTTTTACAAAGTGGATCCATCTGATGTACGTAAGCAAACCAGAGATTTTGAAAAGGTTTTCAGGAAAACTTGTGCTGGTAAAAAAAAGAAAGAAATTTGAGATTCTGAAAAACTAAATTTCATTCATTGTTCAATACCACCAAATGTGGGATGCAAGTTGCATATCATAGACACTTTTAAGACTACACTTTATTCCGAAATGGAATAAAAATCAAAATGCAATTAACTAATGATGTTGATCTGCTACTTGCCTTAATTCACTTTTAGACCATTTCAATCTGTAACTTAAACCACTGAATCTTTATATCATGCACACACAGTATATGTTACATAAGCTAAAAGAAAAAGAGTTTGAGAAACGATGGGGCTTGGAATGATAGTAAATCTTTCATAATTCTTGTACTTTTTCATGTTGCCTCAATTTTTCTTGGAAATGAGATAACAGTAAATAAAAGGTACCATCTCATTTTCAATTGTACTTTTTCATGGTGATGCTCTATGATTGGTTGAGCCTGTGGATGGTCTGGTCATACAGATCCATGCAGTCCTCCCACGCTTCCTTCTCGCCTTGCTTTGAATCAAATTATGACCCGAGAGAGTGTTGCTCTTGGCTTTCACGGCTCCGTCTGTGGATGGTCTACAGGACACCTTTAGGAACTGAGTCGTGCATGCTTGTTCTTGGTTTTTGGGTCGGACGCTGAATCAGAAGAGTCTTACATTGACCAGGGTACGACGTTAGGTCGTACCTAAGCCAAGAGCGACACGTACACTAGACGGAGCCGTGTACACTAGACGGAGACGTACACTAGACTAGGAGAAAATGATTTATACCTCTGATGAAATAGCGAGCATATCTGTCATAAAACATGGATATCAGCTACTGAACGAGGCTTCTAAACAAATACCGAACAGAGAGCATTGTCTTATGCGACTTTATTATTCCCCATAAGAAATAACAAACTGGAAAGAGACCCAATTGCCATCTAAGCTGAAAGGACAAAGGTATCTTTCAACATAAACCTAAACTGCGGTCGGGGATTGGACATACAAAGCAGTAGAATGTATTAAGAAATTGTTTAAACAAAGATAGCAAGCACTGAAAATCTCAATTAGACATCTTGATCACGAGAGTCTCCAATCCAAAACATCCTAATCCTATATACCATTGATACTTCGGAGAGATAAGAGAGATATACCTTCTCCTCTCAGGCTTTAACCACCACACTGACAGTCTCGGTATAGCAAGCCGAAATCCTCGCCGACGATTGGAGATCTGAATCTAAATCGCGACTCCAACCAAGATGAAACCCCCAAACGAAACAGACCCAGAGCCATCCACAGACGGAGCTGTGAAAGCCAAGAGCGACACGTACTCTCTCGGGTCACAATTTGATTCAAAGCAAGGCGAGAAGGAAGCGTGGGAGGACTGCATGGATCTGTACGACCAGACCATCCACAGGCTCAACCAATCGGTGTTACAGAGCATCACCATGAAAAAGTACAATTGAAAATGAGATAGCACCTTTCGTTTACTACTATCTCATTTCCAAGAACATGAAAAAAGTAGAAGAATTATGAAAGAAATTTTACTATCATTCCAAGCCCCATCGTTTCTCTGTCTCTTTTTTTTTAAGCTTATGTAACATATACTCTGTGTGTGCATGATCTATAGATTCAGTGGTTTAAGTTACAGATTGAAATGGTCTAAAAGTGAAATAAGGCAAGTAGCATATCAACATCATTACTTAATTGCGTTTTGGTTTTTATTCCATTTCGGAATGAAGTGTAGTCTTAAAAGTGTCTATGATATGCAACTTGCATCCCATATTTGGTGGTATTGAACAATGAATGAAATTTATAAAATTTAGATTGTAGCACATTCAGATGTAGAATAGCGTTGGCAGAAGTAGTAGCCACAATTGCTGGTTACCATTCAACCAACAGTTGGTTGGACTTTTTCGTTTTTGCTCATAATCCTCCAACTATGAACTCGATACCATTATTTAATTAGTCAAAATGTTATTAAAAATCATTATGTAGATATTGCATAGAATCATGAGCTTCAACTAAAACTAATTGACAATTAATCGATTGATTTATGTCTTTTATATACATACCAGTGTTAATTTTAATATCCTAATACGCTTTGTCGGGA